TTTTTTTGATTACTTGATCAGGCCCAAACTCCTCTGACTATCATGACCTTCAGTAATCAAGCCTCATTCACCCAACCTGACCTGTCTTTGCTCCCCAATGCATTATCCCTCCATGCAGAGACCTATTTACTGTCTCCAGAGGAAATCAAGACCTTTCACACCTCCCTACCTGTGTTTAGGTTACGTTTCTTCCCTGGAAATGTCCCCTTTCTTATCTACTATCTGTGTAAATTCTAACCACTTTTCAGGGCCCAGATCAAGTTCTACCTTTTCTACTATAGAGGAGGTAATGCCTATTATGCTTTTCCAATGTGTATGTCTAATAACATCAAGAAGAATAGAATACATAGTGTGTATTTGATAAATATTTCTGTTTTAATTATCCTTTCTCTAGTATCTAACATCACATATTTTAGAACTATCTTTTGCTTGACTGATAGTTTATGAATATAGGTTGTAACAGTTTAGAAAACCTTCAGTTACACGTCATAGAAGAGTACATTAATGGAATTCTAAACCCTAAGGATATTTATTGTCTTCTTCCAAAATTTCATCATCAACCCATAAACGTCTTTCTGCACTTTGGTTTCACCATTCTCAGCCTGTTGGATTTTCATCTATGTACTTTTTACCTCGCCATCACAAGACTGGGGCTTCCTAGGTGGTGTAGTAGTGAAGGACCCGCCTGCCAATGCAGGAGACATAAGAGACGCAAGTTCAGCTCTTGGATCAGGAGGATCCCCTGGAGGAGGGCATGGCAACCCACTCCAGTATTCTTGCCTAGAGACTCCCATGGACAGAAGAGCCTGGCGGGCTACAGTCTATAGGGTCGCAAAGAGTCAGACACGCCTGAAGCCACTTTGCAGAAGCATGCACAAGCCCATCTGCCTGGCATGCTGCAGTCCATGAGGTCGCAAAGTCAGACACGACTGGGCGACTGAATTGAATTGATATGGATTCCTGCAAAAGGTCAGAAACCAAACTACAAATTTTGAAAATTTTGTTGTTGTTGTTACTTTCTGTTTGGTATAAACATTATGTGCCTAGCCGAGCTGGGAGTCCTTTAATTATTTTTTCAGGAAGCCTTGTTGACAGTGTAGATCCTAAAGCAACCAACCAGAGCAGTCTCCTGTTAGCATATGCTCTAGAACAGGAGTCCACTCCAAATAACAATTCCCTCCTGAACACATTATTGTATTTACCTGAATGCAAGGTAATTAACATCTCCAGCAAGTCAAATTTCTGATTGCCTCATATGGTCTCAGCAGCTCTCAGGCCACTCACCCATCTGGTTGCAGCGCTATAGCCATTTGCCAGCATGTGGGTTTGTGTGTGCAGGAGCCAGGACCATTGGGTGTTTGGAGTAACACGTTGCCACATGTGCATAGACAGGATTGTAACGTGTCCCCAGTCACTGCATGCCTCTGCTCAAGTCAGAAAGGGACAGCTGCTCCTGGTCACACCACTCTTGAATTTAAATCCTGAAACATTCCCTGCTCACTGTCTCTGGAGAATATCACAGCATGGAAAAGATAAAGGTTTTACAGTTAACTGGATGATAAGCTATAGCCTTAGCTGTGAAAGGAAAAGCCTACAAGTCAAGAAAATAGCAGCAGTTCTAGATAAAAGCCACACTGAATTTTTGAGCCATTGAAGGGAATGATATAGAATGAAAAGAAAAGTGATTGCTAAGTCAATTTAGTCTACTTATGTCTTCTTAAATTATGCATATGCAGGTTAATTTGAAGGCACTATACAAAGGCACTGGAGTGGAGAATGAAAAATTCCAAATATTACCAGATGAATTGGTTGTATGACATTCCACACACAATTGTTTTGGATCCAAAGTCTTACTTTTCTTTCACCTGTCTTGAAAGCACATAAATGCAATAAACAAATCTATGCAGGTGTAAGGACAACTGGCCCAATGTATACAATAGTAGCAATGCTAAGAAATATTCAACCCAGGTGTTTGGATTGTCTGAAGTTGCTGGTCATTGGCTATCCTGAGAAATCATTGAATAAACATAGCTGGCATAGCTTATGTGTTACTGAAGCTCATGAATGGCTACTTGGTAGATATGCTGAGACAAAATAAAAGAAATAAAATGGGCCGTGGATATTCCATAGAAGCTAAACATAGCACTTGCAACAAATATCACCTGTGGCCAGATGGAGTTGCAAGTTTCATCCACATTATTTCAAGACATATTTCTGTTTAGTTTTGTTTTCCACAGAGAGCGAAGGCCAGACCACCTGGAGTGAGCACTTGATATGCTCTCCTCATAGTGGCTACAGTGATCTTGCCTTGATATTAACAATTACTGCTCCCAGGCTCAGGTGGGAGATATGGGTGATTGTCAAGAGCAGAGAGGGAAATGACCAAAGTGACCTCTATCCCACAGTGTTTGTGATTGCTTCTTGGTACTACTGGCTCTGACTCATACTCTAACATCAATTCAGCCCCTGCTGATGTTCCCATGAACAGTGGCAGGGAGCATTAGAATTGTCAGTGTAGTGGGTAGGGTGGAGGTTCTAGATGGAACCTCAACTCTGTAAGGTTTTAATTTGGGCAAACTGCTCAACTTTTCTAAATCTCAGTGTCCTTTTTGTGTGTGTGTAGATTGAAGATAATGAATTTAATTATTTCATAGGATGATGGGCAGATTGAATCAAATAATCACATGTTTGGCCCATGATAAGCTCTAAAAATGTTAACTCATTATTATTACTTTAGTTACATTGGTGATAAAAGGGAAGGGTGTAGGAGACTTCCCTGGTAGTCCAGTGATTAAGACTGTGCTTCCAGTGCTGGCGGCCCAGGTTTGATATCTGATAACTAGATTCCACATGCCATGTGGCAAGGACAAAAAAAAAGTTTAGAAAAAAGAGAAGGAGGCCTTTTAAAACCTATTTGAGACATCATTCATTCACTCATTACTTCATTCTAAAGAAACCTCTTGGTTTTCATACTGGATACCCGCTATAATGGGGTAGACATAATGGCATTGGACACAAAATCTCAACTAAGTGAAATTTGTTTCTCAAATTCCTTTCCTCTCAGCTGCCTGCTCCACCGTTGTCTCCTCCCACTGCCCTAGTGGTTAAGAACTGCACCCTGAAGACCACCTTAGCAGGTCAAACTGTCCCCTCACTCATCCCCCACCAAGGTCCCATGTTCCCAGGTGTTTTCTTTGGTGACTGACTTAATTCACTAAGATGTTACATTTAATGCAGTTATTAACTATTGCATTTAATATAATTATTAACTATCTTCTAGATAATAAGCCTGCAGTTCAACAGTAGAGTCATAGTGCCTTACACATGAGAGTCCTGCTCGTGTGGAATTTCAGAGCTCAAAGCAGGTCCATGGGGTGAAGACCTTGGAACAAGTAAGATGGTCAGCATCTCTCAGATCAGTTCACACAGAAAGTTCTGTGTAGGTACAAGGTTGGCTTGGCGAAGGATAATGAAGTCTTATCCTGATCTGATAGAGCGTGCAGTTCAGTTGGAAATAAGGAGACAAGAAGTGTATCAGTTAGAAAGCAATAGAATGAAGTCCAATGTATAATATTGTTAGATAATAACCATTAGATAATTTTGTTCTGAGGATACATAAAACAGCTAAAGTTATCTAGTAATAATAACTAATGTTTATGGAATGCTTACTATGCAAAAACAAATTTTAATGTGGTAAAATATATGTAATATAAAATGTATCATTAGTAACATTTTAATATTCACAATGTTGTACAACCATCCCCCCTATTTAGTCCCAGAACATTTTCATCACCCCGAAAGGAAACCCCATATCCATTATACTTCTCAGCCTCCCCTCCTACCAGTCCCTGGCACCTACTAATGTGCTTTCTGTCTCTATGGATTTGCTTATTCTGGGTGCTTCATATAAACTGATTCATTTAATAAGCAGTTTTTTAGATCTAGCTTCTTTTCCTGAGTGTATTATTTTTAAGATTTCATCCGTGTTGCAGCATGCATCAGCACTTTGTTCCTTTTCATGGGTAAATAATATTCCACTGTTTGGATGTACCACTTTTGTTTATCCATTCATCAAGTGATGGACTTTTGGGTTGTTTCTATGTTTTGTCTATTGGAAATAGTGGTGCTCTGAATATTCATGTTCAAATTTTTGTTTGGGCACTTTTTTTCAGTTCTTTTGAGTATGTATTCTAGTGTGGAATTACTGGGTCATATAGTCATTCTATGCTTAACTTATTGAGAAACTTCCAGACTATTTTTCAGAGTTTCCACTTTTCATTACCACCAGCCATATACAAGGGTTCTAGTTTCTCCACATCATCACCAACATTTACTGCTTTTCCTTTTTTTTAATTCTAGCTTTCCTAGAAGGTGTGATGTCTTGCTGTAGCTTTTGGTTTGCATCTCCCTTATAATTAATGACATGGAGCATCTTTTCATGTGCTTTTTGGCCATTTGTATGTCTTTGTGATAACATTTTAAACACCTGTTTCAGTTGACTTACCCTAAACCTGAGGGGTATTTTACAGATAGGTAAACTGAGGCTTTGTAAGTGATTTCAATAAATTGTCCAAAGTCATGGCAAAATCAGGTTCAAATTGATTTTTATGTTCTGGATCTAGGGGACACAAACCTGGCAAATGATGGTCTTGGGTAATTGAAGAGTGTTTGACCTCCCAAGTTAGGACAAACTTCCAAGGATAGTGCAGTTAATGATCAAGTCACAGTGAAGCGGCTCACCTATGAAGCAGGTCAGTTCTGGAGGACAACCACACACATGGGTCCCTGGGCCACTGGCTCATGTGTGGCTTGAGGCATTCAGTTTTCACAAGGGGAGTTTGGGGAAGCCTCTGTAGGCCACTGAAAACTTTCGTTTCCATTATGTTTCTCATTATTAAAAAGAAAAAGAAGCTGCCTGTCATAATTGCACCAAGATCTAATTTCTTTCACAAATGCCCTTTTATTTAATAAACTAGAACACTGAAGTCAGAAGGTACAAGATGAAGAAGTTAGACTTACATAACCCAATAGGAACAGAATCCAGACTGTATTTCAAAGAGCTTCTGATCACTCAGGATATTCAAAGGGTTTTGGAACAGGCCAGGTGAGTAAGGGAATATGTGCTCCTAACCCTCAGACTGACTCGAACACTCCAGAGAAGAGTCTCTGCATTGACATACTGCATGGACCACGTGTGTGGATGTGCCACAGGCTTCCTGGGGCCACCAGCAGCTGGTTAGACTTTATATGCATCTTGGTTACCTACCCTGCCTCCTCTTTAGATTATTCTGGAGTTGATTAAGTAATTTGGAAGTTAAATAATGCACATATAGAATGAGAGTTCCTACAGAGTGCCTTTGATATAGTAGTTTCTAGGAAGAAATTTCCTTTTGGACATGTGGATTGTTTCTGTTTTGCCTGTTGGAAATAGTGGTGCTCTGAATATTCATGTTCAGATTTTTGTTTGGGCACTTTTTTCAGTTCTTTTGAGTATATATTCTGGTGTGGAATTACTGGGTCATATGGCCTTGAGTTTCTCTTACTAGTCCTAGTGCCCATTTGACTCTCTCTGCCTCAGTTTTACAATGTCATGCCATACTTTAACACCCTTTCACAGAACGTGAAAGATTATTCAGTATTTAGGATAAAATAGACTATAACTTAAAATTCTGTATTTCAAAGAGCTTTATTTCACATTGTTCTCTGGAGCGGCTGAGTCAGTCCAAGAGTTAAAACAGCACACATTCCTTATTCACCTGGCCTATTCTAAAGTCCTTTGAATATCGTGAGTGATCAGAAGCCCTTTTGAAATACAGTCTGGATTTTGTTCCTATTGGGTTATGTAAGTCTAACTTCTTCATCTTGTACCTTCTGACTTCAGTGTTCTTGTTAATCAAATAAAACTGCATATGATCAATAAATACCTAAAATACATGGAAATTAAGCCAAATGAAGGAGAATTTTAAGTTACAGTCTGTTTTATCCCAAATACTGAATAATCTTTCATTCTCTGTGAGAGGGTATTAATGTATGGCATGACATTGTAAGACAGAAGTAGAGAGAGTCAAATAGACACTAGGACTAGTTAGAGAAACTCAAGTTTGAACACTGGTGCCTTTAAAGTATCAACAAATGACATGAATGAGACAAAGCCTGCTTCCTACACTATGTGGAATATGGTCTTTTCCCAGGTACTTATGTGAGTAACACTTGCGAGTCACACGCCACATGGGCCATGTGGAGTGTTTTCATTAACACAGAGACCGATCTCCAGCCAAACCAGTGCTTTCTGTTTTCTTTAAAGGAAGTGCAAAGTATAGGTGTTTACCAAATCTGGACTAGACTGCTTAGTCTCCAAAGAGCTTGGTTGTGGTTTCTGTGTTTTCTTAAATGTGTTTCAATATGGAAGAGAGCCATTTTGGACAGAAAAGAGTGAGATTCACTTGAATACTTTTTCTCCTGTGATCTGGACCTTCCAAGGAAAGATGAGGAAATTAGCAGGAATATTCTTATCAAGGATGGAGACTATATAATGTCACCCGTATAAAGTATATAGATCATGTTTTTAAGAAATACCTTTAAAGGTTAGTCGTTAAAATGAATTTTTCCCCAAGAATTTTCTATGCTTGTATTAAAAAAAGAAAGTGTGTGTGTTAGTCTTTCGGTCAGCCCCAACTCTTTGCGACCCCATGGACTGTAGCCTGCCAGGCTCCTCTGTCCATGGAATTCTCCAGGGAAGAACACTGAAGTGGGTTGTCATACCCTCTTCTAAGGGATCTTCCCATCCCAGGGATTGAACTCGACTCTCCTGCATTACAGGCAGCTACTTTAGCCTGGGCCACTAGGAAAGCTCCCACCCCCAAAAAAGAAAACCTCTCAGCGAAGGTTTACCTAAAGATGAGGCATTAGCTAGGCAACTGGGGAGGGAGCATTTGCTGGTGCTGGGCTGATATCTGGAGCATTTGTTTCCTGGAGAGTGTGATAAGATAAAGTGGGCTCTTTAATCCTCTGCATCCAAAATACAGATGCCTTAAATCCTGTTGCAGTGCAGAGCTTAATCAGAGTTGGAGTTTGACTGTGAAACCACAGATCCTTTGTAACAAGGTCTTTATGTGTTTGGCTGTACAGTCAGTACAACCCAGCCAAACTGATTTGAGTTCCCTGAATGTTGTAAAAACATTTAAGGACCTTTCAAAGCAGTTATATGTTTATTTGAACTATACAATTCCAAATTTATAAAACCAATATATTTGACATTAAAAACTTATGGAGGATAATTGCTTTACAAGATTGTGTTGGTTTCTGCCATATATCAACATGAATCAGCCTTAGGTTGTGTGTAAAAAACAAAAAACAACACATATAAGGTATGGCAATGTCCCTTCGTTGATGTCCCTGAAGCTGTTACAACACTGTTTGTTAATCAGTTATGCCCCAGGACAAAGAAAGTTTATACTTTCAAATTGTGGTGCTGGAGAAGACTCTTGAGAATCCTTGGGACAGCAAGGAGACTAAAACAGTCTATCTTAAAAGAAATCAACCCTGAATATTCACTGGAAGGACTGATGCTGAAGCTGAAGGTCCAATATTTTGGCCACTTGATGCAAAGAGTCGACTCATTGGAAAAGACCCTGATGCTGGCAAAGATTAAGGACAGGAGGAGAAGGGGGTAGGACGAGATGGTTGGATGGCATCACCAACTCAATGGACATGAATCTGAGCAAACCCTAGGAGACAGTGAAGGACAGGGAAGCCTGGCGTGCTACAGTCTGGGTGTGCATGCTTAGTCACTTCAGTCATGTCTGACTTTTTGCAACCCTATGGATTGTAGCCTGCCAGGCTCCTCTGTCCATGGGATTTTCCAGGCTAAAATACTGGAGTGGCTTGCCATGCTCTCTGCCAGGGGATCTTCCTGACCCAGGGACCAAACCTGCATCTCCTGCATTGCAGGAGGCTTCTTTACCTCCGAGCCACTGGGAAAGCCCGTGCTGTAGTCCATGGGGTGACAAAGAGTTGGAGATGACTTGGCAACTAAACAAATTGCAAAATAATCAGTCACTACTCTTGAAAAAAATGCCAAGGTCATGAAAGACAAAAAGACTAAGGGACTGTTACAGATTAAAGGGGACTAAGGACACATACAAACTAAAATCAGTATATAATCCTGGATTGGATCCTTGATAGGGGAAAAGAAAAACAGGAATAAAAGGCATTATTAGGGTAATTGGTTATATTTGAATATTTACTGGGGATTAGATAATAGTCACAGTATCAAGGTAGAATATCTTGGTTTTGTTAATTGTGCTGGTTATTAAAGAAATTGTCCTTGATTAGAAGATATGTACACTAAAGTGCCTAGGAGTAAAGAGATGTAATGGCTCCAACTTGAGAAAAATGACTCTGTGTGTGTGTGTATACATACACAGACAGAGAGAGAGAGAGAGAGAGAAAGACTCAAAGAGCAAAATGGTTAACAACTGGTGAACTTGGGTAAATGGCATACAGAGGCCCTGGCAACCTTTCCATAAGTTCAAGATGATACAATATTAAAAACTATAAAAGATATACTCTGCCTAAAAGATTCCCTTCAAGATATAATCTTGTTTCAGGTGTCATTTGATGATTAAGGGTAATCCCAGTAGGCCAATTTATCCTGTCTCATCTGTCCAAACTTAGAGAAATTTGCTTTCTAATCATATCTAATGCTATGATCGAAGGCATGATAACTCCAGACTCCCAGAGCCCACTGAATCTATAAGTATGAAGTAGTGTGCATGCATACTAAGTCACTTCATTCGTACCCGACTCTGTGTGACCCCAATGACTGCTGCCCACCAAGCTCCTCTTGTCCACAGGATTCTACAGGCAAGAATATTGGCGTGGGTTGTCATGCCCTTCTCCAGCGGATCTTCCCAACCCAGGGATTGAACCCTCATCTCTTACATCTCGTTCATTGACAAGTGGATTCTTTACCACCAGCATCACCTGGGAAGCCCCAAGTATAAAGTAGAGAATCAACTAATTTATGGATTATTCTTCTGATAAAATTTCTTGCAGGTAGTTTTACATAATAACTGCTATAGAACAGTGTGGCAGAGGCTGCTAGTTGCCATCTCAATATTCATTATTCCTTGGTAAAAATATCCCTGATTTTTAGGAAGGGAAAGGGCTGCTCCCAATAAAGACTTTATTTCCCAATTCTCCTTACAGCTAGGTGTGGCTATTTGGCTAAATTCTGACCAAAGAAAATAAAAAGGAAAGTTATATGGTAACTTCCAAAACACCTTCTTAAAAGAATCAGTCATAAGTCCTTTTACCCTTCTTCTTTGTCTCTTCTCCCATAATACCTGGAGTGTAGATATGAGGCCTGGATCTCTAGCAGCTATCTTGGGCAACAAAGGCAAGGTCCATACCATTGGGGTGGTAGAATAGACAGAAGGAAACTCTGTGGGTCCCTGATTAAAAATAGCTGTCATACCAACCTTAGAATGTCTATTCATTAACTATATTTACTTTACAGGAGAAATAGAAACTTTAATTTTGTTTGTCATTGCTAATTTGAGATTCTATTATGTATCATAAAAGAAATGGTACTTTTTAAAAAATATAAGGGGCTAAAGTCTGACTTAGACTCATAGTTTCTATAAAGTTTTCAGGTGATAATTCACTCCATGAGGGTGGATCCCATTGATATGTCTTCCTAGAGTCTAGCAGAGTCTTCACATAGTTTTAATAGATGAATATTTTTAGAATGAATGAAAACTATTTTAATAAAAACAACTCGAAAATGCTGCCTACATAATTAGAAATTCACCCCAATTTGGCATTGCTTTTTGATCATTATGATTTGTTAAATATATTTCTTTCCCTATAAACCTTTGGTCAAAAGCAAAATAACCCTTATCTAGACTTCTAGCTTGTTAAAATTATAGGGAGAATTTATGATTATAGTGTTTGCTTCTATGGCATTCTTTATTAACATATGAAAAGGTAAAATGAATCAGGCGGCACAGACTGTCATATCAAGAACAAACAACTCCAAAATCTCACTAGTTTAAAAACCACAAAGTTTGCTTCTGGTTGGTGGGAGTTCCTCCATATCTT